TTGTGTGCCAGACTGGATTGTAAAGAACCTTCTGGATCTGCCCGAGGAGCTGGGACTATACCCAGCAGGTGGAGTGAATTTCACTAGCGAGCACCGGGCTGTTTTCCAGAGGCAGCTCAGGTCACCCTCCCACGGATGTTAGGAAGACTTCAAGGTCCTTGCGGACACGTGCCATTGTCCGGCCTGCAGCTTAGCCATGACAAACTCAGACCATATTGGCAGGAGCAGGAGTGGCTGGATGTGGAAAGTCGTGATGCCCTAGTCTGCTGTGGGCCCTCGTGGGAGCTGGGCCTGCAGGTACCTCTGAGGCGGGGTGGCAGACAGGTCTCTGTGGAGCCAAGGCTGGCTTTGTTATTCATAGCACGTCACCTCCCTCCGAAATGCCTGCCAGAGACCATTGAGTTTTCGTGGAGGCTACCTCCGCCGTTTGCAGCCCAGATGAGCCTGTATTATTTGGGCACGAAGGCTCCTGGTCCTGCTGCGGGACTGGACCTGCCCGGCAGTGAGGCCGAACGCCCTGGAGTCTCTGAGGGCACCTTCTGGAGCAGGTACAGATGTGCAGAGTAGACCCTGCTGCAGGATACCCAGACAGCTCCTGCCCACGGGGGGCAGATGTGGGGGTGTCTGCAGGAATGTAGGTGGGGCCCCCATGGACCGGGGGAGCCCTAGGCTGGCAGGTCTCTCTCTCTCACCCTTGTCCCTGACCCCTCAGTCCCATCCAACGCTCCTGACTGCCCTTGTCTGGCCACTGTGGAGCTGGGCAAGGGAGGGCCTCTCCTTTTACCCAGGCCAGAACAAGATGGAGGCGTCAGGTCCAAGACGTCAGGTGACCCAGAGCCCAGCGTTCAGGCCCAGGCCTCCCTCAGCACATGCCACCCCCTCCCCCCATGGGTCCCTGGCAGCCAGCAGGGTCTAGAGCCACCCTTGGGACCAGTTTCAGAGGGTCTGCCCCTGAGTGGAGATCTCAGTCATGGGTCCCATGGAATTCACCCCTAAAGTTGTGCAGAGGGGATTTAGACGCGCCTACCTTGAATAGGTGCTGGGGCTGCAGGCCTTCAACTTTCCTAAGGAGTGGAGGGGCTCTCCACCACCAGGGTCTTCCCTCAGGGCCTGGACAGGAGGGTGTGCCGTGGGCCACGGATGGCCCTGGGGCATATCTGGTCTGGGCTCCCTTCTCTTGACTGACTGCGAGAACCAGTGGGGTACCCACAAGGCCCTACAGTGGAACCAGAACCAGACCTGGCTCAGCCTCATGTCATGGGCTCGCTTCATTTCTCCTAAGTAGCACTTGTCCATGGAATCCTCGGAATTGGTGCTCACCTAGTACACGCCTGTGTGTGTTTGTGTGTATGTATGTGCACTTGTGTGCATGTGTGTACAGGTGCATAGGCGTGTATATGTGGGGGCGGTCCAGGTGTGGTGCACATGTGTGCACACGTGCATGTGCGTATGCAGTGCCCAAGTGCCTCTTTTTTCTTTTTTTTTGAGTTGGAGTCTCACTCTGTCACCCAGACTGGAGTGCAGTGGCCGCTCCTGGC